TACCTGTATGTTATATCCTCCCTATGGTCTGTATCTGTTCGTTGACGCTGTAATACATACCTGTATGTTATAACCTCCCTATGGTCTGTATCTGTTCGTGGACGCTGTAATACATACCTGTACGGTATAACCTCCCTATGGTCCGTACTCAATCTACTTGGAGTTTGATTGAAGGGAACGTTTACAGATTACGTTATCGCTTTTGACATTTGTATGTAGTTCATCGCATCTCTGGTGGAAGTCATTGATTCATAAATCCGTAACAAACTATGTTACTGATACATGGATGCAAAGAGTGTCTAATGCCACAGACTTTACACGATTTTTATTGCTACATGACTGTCTAAAACCCCATAATTTATGGAAATTAGCCTTGCGTCACCCAAATTTTCTTGACAATATCGGATATATAATGAAATTGATTGTATCTATACGTGTAAGTAACATACAACTTTTATGTCATCATTGTGGCTATTTCTACACAGATTTTGTATCTCATGTGATTTTACATTGTTTTGTAACAGAAAATCTTCGTGACAATTTATGGTGTATAATTGCCTGCATTTCAAGTATTGAACTCAGTTCATATCTGCATTCACTGCCTGACTATTCATTAATCCACGTTTTACTAGGAGGCCCAAAGACCTATCATTTAAATGAAATTGATTTTGAAGAATTTAGACTAGAACCCGTATATGCGATAAAAAGAATGTTTGACTTACATACATAATAATAATTATTACAGTAATGTCTTTCATAAACTTGCCTTTTTGATATAAGGAAAATGTAAAAAAAAAATGTTTACTGGCTACATAAACCAGTATTATATCACTGATATTTACAATATGTATATACGTTTGTGAACATGTATGAATGTCACGATTGTTGTCATTTTGTAAATAATGTATCATTCATGTACATGTACTATCATTGTATCATGATCTACATGTACTATCATTGTATCATGCTTTCCAATTTGGAGGAAATAAAGATGATATATATCACATCTGATTGAATAGATATCAGGGGTCTGATTCAGCATGTGACAGAAGCTACACACATCCATGGCCACACACTGGATGTGGTCATAACGAGGGAAGATAACTCAGTCATTCATGGAGCTATTTCAGTGATTGCTCCATGTCTAAGTGATGTAAAGGGGAACCAATCTGGTGATCATCTTGCTGTCCACACAACACTGAATTGTAGTAGGCCATCTCGTGCAAGGAAACAAGTGAGCTTCCGGAAATTCCGCGAAATTTCAATACCAGATTTCAACAATGACATTCAGTCTTGTTCCGCCCTTCAATCTACGGAAGGCGAGGTTGATGATCTTGTTGAAGCATACACATCTGGTATAGAAGCCCTTATAGAGAAACACGCACCTCTGCAAACTAATGTGATAACTGTGAGACCAAATGCCCCGTGGTATAATGAAAATCTCCGCGTAAAAAACCAGAACCGTAGAAAAGCAGAGACAGTGGCGACGTTCACCAACAGATTTATAGAGAGCAATGTCGGCTAGTTGGTTCACTACTCCTGCAGTTCAAGACGGCTTATTATTCGGAAAGAATCGAAGAATGCGGCAAGGATAATAGACAGTTTTTTAGACTCACCAAAAACCTAATGGGTCAGTAAGGTGAAATTATCCTACCAAGCTGTAATTCTGAAAAAGACTTAGCAAGCAAGTTCAGTGATTACTTTCTGAATAAAATCAGCTCAATCAGGAAAAATATTGCCGAAGTGAACACCTCTGCTGACATTGACATCTCTGTCATGACTGCTGACATTGCATTTGATGGGGAACCATTGGCAAAGCTCTCATCAACAACCCAGGACGAATTGCGCAACATTATCATGACCTCGCAATCGATGTCCTGTGAGCTTGACCCACTGCCTACAGACCTATCAAAGCAATGTATTGAAGCACTGCTTCCTTTGTTTACCTCAATCATGAACAAATAATTGGCTGAGTCGAAGGTTCCGTTATGTTTCAAGAAGGCACATGTCAGACCATTGTTAATGAAGCCTGGAATGGACAAGGAGGAGTTGAAAAACTACCGCCCAGTTTCAAATCTGCCTTTTCTGTCTAAGATCTTGGAGAAGGTTGTGTCTCGGCGTTTAGAGGTTCATCTCCATGCAAACAGTCTCCTTGACAATATGCAACCGGCCTACCACATGGGACGCTCTACTGAGGCAGCCCTCCTACGTGTACATAATGATATAGCTTCTGCATTGGATAACAAGTGCAGAGCGGTGCTTGTCATGCTGGACTTGTCAGCTGCATTTGACGTCATCGACCATGGCATACTTTATAAACGTCTGGAATACTCTTATGGAGTGACTGATACCGCACTATGCTGGATACAGTCTTACCTGAGTCAACGACAACAGTGTGTTGCCATCGGATCTTCCACCTCACATGACAAAGTACTAATATAGATTTCGGGGTTCCTCAAGGGTCGGTGTTAGGACCACGAAAATAGTGTATATACTCCAAATCGACTGGAGAGATTTGTCGTCGCCATAGCCTTCGCTATCATTGCTATGCCGATGACACACAAATTTACATGGGCATCAAACCACAGGACAGTTGGAATACAGTCTCAGAAAGTCTGGAAGCTTGTCTGACAGATATCAGTATCTGGATGAACGCCAACATGCTTAAGCCTAATTAGGAAAAGACGGAACTAATCGTCTTTTCCCCAAAGTGTCAGCAAACATGACTCTTCAGCTCAAAGTTGGTGCCAGAACTATCGAGACTGTTCCAGCTGTTAAAAACATAGGGGTATACTTTGATAGTTCACTGAACATGGAGAAACAAGTAAACGCTATTGCCAAATCCTGTTACTACCAGATCAGGAACATCGGCTGTATCTGTCAGTTTTTAACTGCAGATGCATGCAAGATTTTGGTGCATTCACTTGTTACCTCTCGGTTGGATTATCTGACAAACTAACTAGTCGTCTGCAGAGGGTCAAGAACACTGCAGCACGGCTAGTTACTCGTACTCGAAAGAGAGAGCACATCACACCTGTGCTTTATTCGTTGCACTGGTTACCTGTACGATACAGGTCGCAGTACAAAATTCTGGTATACACATACAAGGCACTGAATGGAACAGCTCCTCAGTACCTACATGAGCTTGTTACCATGTATCAGCCGTCACGATAACTGCGGTCGGAGTCAGAATCTTTGTTGTGTGTCCCAAAATCTCGTACTGTGACCTACGGAATGCTTGGGGAGGGTTTCGACTACGTTGTGGAATAACTTACCATCTGCTATTAGAAAGTCAAATACCCTGGCCAAGTTCAAGAGGGACATCAAAACTCACCACTTCACGTCTCCATTTTAGAATCTTTGCAAAGACGTCATGTAAATACCACCCTTTTATTTGTTCAATTATGTGCACATTGCTTGCTTAAATTTATAAAAGTGATTGAAAGCCTTTGTTTTTTTGTTTTCAAAATTATAACCATTACTATTATCCATATGTTGTAAAGCGCTTTAGAGTAATTTTACAAATTATATAGGGCGCTATATAAATGTTTTATATTATTATTATTACTATTAATAGACTTAAATAGTCAATGATTTCGATATCGGTCATATATACAAGTTTGAAACATATTAACATAATGAACGTTGATAATTAACAGTAACACATGAATTCTGGGTAGGTGTCTTTTATAAGCAGTAGTTGTTAGAAAGGACTCTTGACCTTTGATAAATGAATTATTGTGATGTTACAATATAATCTTTATTATACTACACGATCTATAGTACTGTTATCAAACTTTAAAAGTTTAATAAGACACTTAATCTCATAGTGTTGTTGTATGATCTATCTATAGCCATTATATGACTTAGCCATACCCACACCAATCGATACCCAATAAAGTTGTCCACCATTGTGTCGGAGCTATGTTTGTCCTTCACCTGTTCCACTGTCATGGTTTGGCTGATATCGACTCACTAATTCATTTTACAGATATACCCAACTGTGTACAGGTCGATAGCCGGATATTCAATCAAGTTAAAAGCAAATAGTCACTTGACCATAGCTAATACCTATACAACTTTGCTATTAAATTGTAATGTCTTGTGAACTGATATTAGGCCAGTTTCATGAAATGTAAACTGTTAAGTATAAAACTGGGCTGTTATATATTAAATAACTTGAGAACTAATGTAACCCAGCCATAATATTGAACCGATATCACTCGGAGATAATTAAAATGTGTTGTTAATTATTACGTACAAGCTGGGCTGTTATATCAAAATGATTAGTGAATTGATATAATTTATAATTGAAATATATTTGGGCATCTAGGCTATACTTTTGAAATCATTTTATGGACTGGTACAACTTGACTGTAATATTGAGATTTCGTATAAGGTGGTATATATAGATCTCGGCCATGGTATTGAACATCTTGTGAATCGTTAAAACTCGTCTTTAATATTTAAATGAGTTTGGAACTTATAAATCTCGGCTATAATATGAGAAAGTCTTCTGAACTGCTGTATAAACATCTCGGCTGTAATATTGAAATGACTTGTGAACCAGTACATCTCGGCTGTGATATTGAAATGACTAGTGAACCAGTACATCTCCGCTGTGATATTGAAATGACTAGTGAACCAGTACATCTCGGCTGTAATATTGAAATGACTTGTGAACCAGTACATTTCGGCTGTGATATTGAAATGACTTATAAACCAGTACATCTCGGCTGTGATATTGAAATGACTTGTGAACCAGTACATCTCGGCTGTAATATTGAGGATGTCGCTCTGTCCTAATGTCAGTTACTGCTGTATTTTTTATATTTTGTGTATCGACATAGAGGTATAGAATCTGTCCTTGTGTGTGACTTTGTAGTATATTTTCAAAGTTGTTTGGAAACACGTTTCTGTCTTTAATTGGATTAATATCATTCGAAACAGTAGGGAACATGTATAAAAATGTATACTATCCGAGAATATTCAATACTTACCCAAAAAGAATAAAATCCGGATAATATAATTGAGATCTGATTTGTACATCCACATTCTAAGTCCACTTTTTCAGTATCTTCCGCATTTCTATATCCCAGTGTCAATTGCAAATCTAATCACCGTATCATAGACACATACTACGTGCCATCAAACACCAACAATTCCCACTAACAATTTCCAGACACAACTTTATGTTAATCCTCGAACGGCAAGAAACACTACCATAGCTAGTTCCCGACTCCAGTCAGACCCAGAATACCTCGCGCATGTTTCGTGTTTGTCCATGTCAATGTCACAGGTGAGCAAGCACATTAGCGTGTTCCGCGACCCTGCTTCTCCGCGTTTGATAACGCGCTCCGTGTATTGTTAATAACTTAATATTTGGTTATCTCCAGTAGCTAATACCTTGCGATGGTTCCATGTCAGTAAGCACTGGATTAACCGTATGAGTCCAACAAGGCTAAAGGTACCGTGGTGACAATACAATGACGCACTAATGGCGCTGCCAGATCCTGGTAGGCCTTCCGTGTCCACGAACTACACATCTACTCCCCTACCGGAGTATAATGGTCTCGTTAACAGACGTACTGGTAACCAGTTTTAATGTGTCTTACGTAATAATACTATCTAACGAGTTTCGTCTGAAGTCACATATACGGTGATTTGAATGTCGATAACATTCTGATAATGTAAAGCTAGCTGGAGCTGATAAGCGGGTACAGGTAGACATGTCATTATCGACTATACGGGATACATGTAGACTGGCACCAGCAGCAGATAGCGCTACTACACCTGAGTATGGATGCTGCTGCTACTCCAGGGAGACAGGCAAGCGCACCGTTGTCAACGCCGACATACTTCACTTAACTTAGCGTCATCCCGTCGTCAGGAATTATGACATACTCAGTTGAACATTGGTATCCCGTCGTCATGGTAGAACTGACACCACCAACGCTCAAAAACCAAACCGATCTCCTTGGAAGATCACAGTAGCCTGTTTATGATAGTGCTCTGATCAGTGTGCTGACTTCAGTAGGTCTGGTAGATAGTCGTTCGCGTCAGTCTCCATCAACGGGACAATATCGGTAGTCCTGAACCATGACGTATCATTAGACCTGGTAGATAGTCGTTCTCGTCAGTCTCCATCAACGGGACAATATCGGTAGTCCTGAACCATGACGTATCATTAGACCTGGTAGATAATCGTTCCCGTCAGTCTTCATCAACGGGACAATATCGGTAGTCCTGAACCATGACGTATCATTAGACCTGGTAGATAATCGTTCCCGTCAGTCTTCATCAACGGGACAATATCGGTAGTCCTGAACCATGACGTATCATTAGACCTGGTAGATAATCGTTCCCGTCAGTCTTCATCAACGGGACAATATCGGTAGTCCTGAACCATGACGTATCATTAGACCTGGTAGATAATCGTTCCCGTCAGTCTTCATCAACGGGACAATATCGGTAGTCCTGAACCATGACGTATCATTAGACCTGGTAGATAATCGTTCCCGTCAGTCTTCATCAACGGGACAATATCGGTAGTCCTGAACCATGACGTATCATTAGACCTGGTAGATAATCGTTCCCGTCAGTCTTCATCAACGGGACAATATCGGTAGTCCTGAACCATGACGTATCATTAGACCTGGTAGATAATCGTTCCCGTCAGTCTTCATCAACGGGACAATATCGGTAGTCCTGAACCATGACGTATCATTAGACCTGGTAGATAATCGTTCCCGTCAGTCTTCATCAACGGGACAATATCGGTAGTCCTGAACCATGACGTATCATTAGACCTGGTAGATAATCGTTCCCGTCAGTCTTCATCAACGGGACAATATCGGTAGTCCTGAACCATGACGTATCATTAGACCTGGTAGATAATCGTTCCCGTCAGTCTTCATCAACGGGACAATATCGGTAGTCCTGAACCATGACGTATCATTAGACCTGGTAGATAATCGTTCCCGTCAGTCTTCATCACAGAGACGTTGTTTCTCAGCCTGGATGACCGTGCTGAGATAAGAAAGCCTAGTGGCTCATACTCTACAGAATTGATACTATGATGAAACAAGCCAATTTCACCATAAACCCCCGAGTCGGTGTTATCAATCTGAAATCGAATAACACGTAACGTTGTCTACCAGTGCCGGAACAATAATGTACCAAGTATGACACGGGGTTTAATTAGTATTCTAAAACCTATTTAGAGATACAGCAGAAAGGAAAGGGGTCTAATTAGCCTTTATTTCGTTACATACGGACAAGTGTTGGCTGCAATCATTACTAGTGTTTCATGTTAACTGTGCAAGAATACATTTCAGCTACAAAGTTACGACCAATCTTGGTGACTAATATCCACCAGTAGAATAGACCACCTTGTTACGTCATCAGCGGTACTTAATCAAGTCAGTGCTCCAAAGCGTAAATCAATGCCTCTCTCGTAGACAACACTGGTTATGCTGTTTATTGGTCAACAGGATGCACTGTCCAGAACATTCTGTCAAATGGATGTTCCGACCAGAACTTTCTGATGCTTTGAACTATTTAACAGTGACTTTGATATGAAAATTGCATGACAATAGAATAGGTCTTTGTTTAACCGCTGGAGAAAGGGAGGATAACACTCAGGAACTTGAATTCGTCCGTTTAAAATTGTAAACCGTGGCATAACTCCAGAGACACTGCTTCATTGTACCTGAATCATACAGTATTGACCCAGAGATGGTACATTATAGACACATAGATCGTAGAGTATAGACCCAGAGATCATACAGTGTTGAACCAGAGATCGTACAATATAGCTCCAGAAATCATACAGTATAACTCCAGAGATTTGTTTGTTTGTTTGTTTATGTTTAACGGCCCATCGACGACTGTGGTCATTTAGGGCCATTGTGATTTTTTTTTTAACAAACATGTGAGTAGCGAAGATAAAATCAGATAAAAAGGTTCATTTTAAAAGCATTCGCATTGCATGTGTAGATAATTAAAATAAAAGGGAGTTCAAATAATAAAAGAGATAACGAATAGATGGTATGGACTATGTGATATATATAACGTCAAAAAAGGTAAGGTGGGTTAGAAAACGTCAGAGTCTATAGAATAGATCGACGTCTTTCAAATAGCTAAATAATGCCTTCGAGTCCACGGAACTGAAAAGAGTTTTCATATCCGTGACTCGAAAGTAGTTATCGCGAATGTGTTTAAAATCGGAACATTCTATTAAAAAATGTTCCACTGTAAATGGAGTGTCACATGCGGATGGGTCATTGTGTGCTTTACGTTTATGACAGAAATGCATGCACACAGTTTAAGATTTAGAGAATTTGAAGCCGTTTTCGCCTGCCCAATTTTGTAGTTTGTTTAAACATTGTTGAAGTTGTCGTTCTATCGTGTGCATGTTCTTAGATCTGTAACAGATCAACAGGTCATCAACAAATAACGACCCTTCTGTTGACTGACCAAGTCATTTGACTATATTATTGATTTTAGGACCAAAAAGGGTGACTGATAGGATTCCACCCTATGGGACTCCCATTTCCTGTTTAGACGTTTCAGAAAAAGTTGAACCAACTCAGACTTTGAAGTGTCTATCTGATAGGTAATTAGATATAAAATTGGGAAGGTTTCCACGTACGCCAAGGTCGTGAAGATCTTTCATGATGCCATACTGCCATGTAGTATCATAGACCTTCTCAAGATCAAAGAACACGGCGACAAGGTGTTTGTTCCTTCTTGGCGAAAGCCTCTCGAATGAATGTCTCTAACCTGATACCTGATGAGATGGTCATTTGTCCCTCTTCTGTTTCTAAAACCACTTTGAAGAGGGGATATTATATCGTTGGCCTCAAGAAACCAAACCAGTCTTGTGCTTATCGTTCGTTCTAAAGTTTTACAAACACAACTAGTCAGAGAGATAGGACGATAGCTGTTTGGGACAGTAGCATCCTTTCCCGGTTTTGGGATAGGTATAATTGTCGAGTTTTTCCACGAATCGGGAATCGTTCCGGAAGCGTAAACTTGGTTGAAAATGTAAAGAAGGCATGTTAGTGACGAGTCCGGTAACTGCTTGAGAAATTGATATGGAATATCATTAGGACCTGAAGCAGAGTCCTGTGATTTTCGAAGCGAATCAACAAGTTCTGGTAGGGTAAATTGCTCATTATAACTTTCTTTGTTTGATGATTTGAAATTGAGCCTTTTCTTTTCTCTTTTTTTCTTTAAAGACTGGAGTTTTCGGGAGTGATTTAAAGGGTATGAGTTTTTAGCTATGTTTTTTGCAAATGCATCAGCAATTTCAGACCTAGACGAAAACATTTTTTTTTTTTTTTAATTAGGTGGGAGGATGTTGACTTTTTCTTTTTCCCACTTATTTTACGAATCATATCCCATACCTTTTTGGAGGACGTGTTTGATGATATTTTTTATACATATTCTCCGCCAAATATCCGCCAAATTTTAAAATCACTGTAGTTTGAAGCAGTTGTGCAATTCAAGTAGCGTCTTAGAGCAGCTGCCCGATTACTGCGTGTTTTAAAAGATTCTCCTGATAAAAAAAACTTCGTAGGTTTTGGAGCGGATTTTGGAATTGTCTTTTGGGCAATAGAAGTGAGTGTTACAGTAAAAGATTTGATTGGGTCGTCGGTTAGTAAATTTTCTGTGGTTAGTTTTTCAATGCACATGTGTTGGAATTGGACCCAATCTGCTTTGTGCATATTCCATCGAGGTAGAGGATCATCAAAAGGAGTACCAATATTCTTAAGAAAAATTGGGAAGTGGTCACTCCCACAAAGATCATTATTTACCTTCCAGTCATAATCAAGTAGAATGGAAGGATGGCATAATGATAGATCAATGTGGGTACGAGAGCATGTAGCAGGGTGTAAATAGGTAGGGGTATTGTTGTTAAAAAGGCACAAGTTGTATCTATCTATAAATTCCTAAATACGTCTTCCTCTCTCGTCTGTGTTGGGAGAGCCCCACAGGCTATTATGACCATTAAAATCACCGAGGATTATGAATGGTGTTGGGAGCTGGGAGACGATGTTATTGAGTTGCTCACAAGTGAAAACAATACTCGGAGGGAGATAAATTGAACAGACGGTTATTTGTCTGTGTAATGTTGCACAGACAGCAACAGCCTGTACATTTGTGTTTAACTTGATCATTCTGTGAGGAATATTTTTATGGACAACTACCGCTGCGCCACCTGCTGCTCTGCTTACTACAGTTAGAGTTAGACATTTCTAAGAGTGATTGGGTTTTGAGCATGATTTCTTGTAGACAAAAAATGGCGGGTCTAAATTCTTTTGATAGATTCTGAAATTCTTCTATATTTGCCTTTAATCCGCGGATGTTCCATTGGATATTTTTGTTTCTTTTTTGGCTGGATTTCGATGGAGTCGAAGCACGAAGCGCGGGGGCGTTCGTCTCCGTCTCATCATCGAAATCCAGCCAGTAGGACATTGAACCGGTTTGTCGGGTCCTCTGATCCTTTGCCAAAGGTGAAATTCAGATCGGGACCATCAGATTTGCCCCTGGCTATTTTTTCCCCCTAGGTCTGTTGATTGGTAATGTTGCCTTTGGCCTCAGATGGGATCGAGGAACAGATGTGAGTGAGCGAGATCGCTGCGAACGCACATGTGCCCTAGATGGGCCAACCTTTGAAGGGTTTTCTCCTGAAGAGGAAGGTGTTTTCGATGGTGGTGCTGGTTTTGATGGTGGTGCTGGTTTTGACTGTTTGTTGTTTTTAGTTGGTTTGGTT